CAGGGACATTGAAAACACACAGGGCTCAAGTGTTTTGCACTAAGCTTGTTTACAGGAAAAGGAGAGCCTGGTGAGTCATCCTTCTATTTTCAAATGGAAACTACCCAGAATTTGTGAGTGCACTTGCAACTCTACGCATTTAAATCTATCAAACATTAAATATTAATGTGAATGACGTGGGAGCAGAACGCTGTTTACCAGGTGACTATGATAGAATGATTTTAAAGGTATTATGAGAAGGTGGGGAATTAGAAAGATACTTTGCCTTAGCTGTTTTTATTTTTTTATCCACCTGGGTATAGGAGAACTATTCAGTATTTGGTGGGGAGCAGGGTAACAGAAAGGTTACCATCATTAGTGATTCTAAATTAGAGCAAACCCATTGCAAGTGGCAATTCGCCAGTACACCATGATACAGGCTGCAGCTTAAAACAGGAAAAGGAAGTGGTGCTAAAGGAGGAGAGAGGAAAAGAAGAGCGTTAACACTGGTGGAGGATTCAAAAGAAGCCTTGCTGCCCTTCTCTGAACACTGTCACTCTCCTTCCAGTGAGGTGCTACACAGTTATTTTAAAGCTATGTCATTCTATACCTTTGCAGAGCCTTGCAGGCTGGTGAAATCAGCTAACTGGGTGAGCTTATCTTCTGTATATTCACTCAAGTGACGTAAATACTGAACAGAATGGACCTTGTGGTATGTGTCTAGGAGCCTTCCTCTAAGGTGACACTGTTTAATTAATCAGTATTGCTTAACATAATTTGTTTAATAAAATATAAACCCCGCTAATTTGCTTTAATTCAATCCACACATCTTCTGTTGTCTTCAAGACCAAGACTTGCCAAGTGGCTTGCTGAATAAAGACACACTTTATCATTTTCAAGTCAAGAAAGCAGAGAGCTAAAGCACAGACTTCCAAGCTAGCCTGCCTCAGTTTTAATCTTGGCTTAAGTATGTACAGTTACTGTATGTCTTTGAGCAAGTTACTTTTCTTGCCTTAGTTTTCTTATCGGTAAAGTGGGGATGATAATAGTTTACACTTCTGAGGGTTTCTGTGTGGATGAGATGAGTTAGTGACAACTGTATATGCTCAGAAAGCACGGAGTCCACAGTCAGTACTGCCCAAGTGTTTGTTCTTATTGTCATTGTCATAATCATCATAGAGTGATCCTCCCCAAACAGTGATCACATCATGGTCTGTTGGTATTTAACCTATGTTGACACCCAGTGATTACTATTCTACATCTATATGTCCTTGGGTAGATTACCTAATCTCTCTGAGACTCAGGGATTCTTTTTCCATATAAAATAGAAATGAGAATATGAATTTGATATTCATTTAGTTAAAAGCAGCATATTGAGTAACTGATATGTTTCTTCCATAATCTAGATACTAGAGACGTTTTATTCAAAGTGAATAAAACAAAATGATATCTAAAAATCATTCTAGAGTTTTCCTGCAAATCTTCCCTGTTGAGGCATCTCTCTTTTAAAAGTGTAGAATATATATATACACACATTTATATATGGGCTAGGAATATATAGTAATATATATATGTAGTAATATATACATATATATATATGGGCTAGGAAATGCTCAGCAGATGTAATACATGCAGTGAATATGAGATATCTAAACTATGTGTTCTTCCAAATATAGCATTAATTTGCTGAAAGCTTTTTTCTCCAAGTAGCTGAAGTTGTTAACACTTTGGAAAAAGCAAGTGAATCTGCCACATGATTATCTACATCTATATGTCCTTGGGTAGATTACTTAATCTCTCTGAGTCTCAGAGTTTTTTTTCCTTATAAAATAAGAATGAGAATATGAATTTGATATCCATTTAGTCAAAAGCAGCATATCGAGTAATTATGTTTCTTCCATAATCTAAGCACTAGAGATGTTTTATTCAAAGTGAATAAAACAAAGTCTTTGCTGTGATGATAAACATATGTAAAAAGTACATAGTATGTTAAGTGATTTAAAAATGTGCCATATGAATATAAAACAGAAAAGAGGCCAAAGAGTGATATGGAGCAGGAGCAGCAGATATGATAGCTTTTCTAATAGTGGATGCTGGCATGTTTGAAAATTCTTGGTGTCACAGCTGTAACATTACGAATTTTTTCATCAAAACTGAAAGGTGAAGAAATCTCTTTAAAAGTCTTCACTGGCACATGAGGCTTTTCTCCAAGAATCTTCTTTTTGAAGCTACCGCAGAATGGCTTCTGACATTCTGGAAACCAGAACACGGGCTTTTGTGGGAAAATTGTTCCAATATGCCCCCATCTAGGGAGCATGGCTGGCCGTATCCTCAGGAAAAAGATATTTTCCCATGTGTTCATGGCTTCAGTATCTCTACATGACAAAAGAAGATAATTATATTTGTATTTTTCAGTAATTAATTGTTTGCTCTGAAATCACTCAAACTTGTTTTTCTTTTTTAAGATGGAGTCTTACTCTGTTGTCCAGGCTGGAGTGCAGTGGCGCCATCTTGGCTCACTGCAACCTCCGTCTCCTGGGTTCAAGTGATTCTCCTGTCTCAGCCTCCCAAGTAGCTGGGACTACAGGCATGCACCACCATGCCTGGCTAATTTTGTTGTTTTTCTTACAGAGGGGATTTTGCCACATTGGCTAGGCTGGTCTTGAACTCCTGACTCAAGTGATCTGCCCTCCTTTGCTTCTCAAACTGCTGAGATTATAGGGATGAGACACTGAGCCTGGAAAATCACTCAAATTTAACACTGGAATTAGAATTACCAGTATTTTCTATGTAGATACCTTCATTCTCATCTGGAAACTCTTATAGCTGGAACATCAACAATGCACTGAATTACCAGTATTTCTCCCCTTTAGAACTTTTCCCAGAGAAGTCTTGATGTCCTTGGACCTTTTCAGTTATCATAGCTTAGAAAAAAGCACAGTCCTTAAGAGGCTGTGATAACTGAAAATTATTTCTGGGCTGTCAGATATGCTTAATAAAAGTTTCAGTAAACTCAGTGACTTCTGTATAGCACATGTAATCTTAATGTGAAAGACATTTTACATTTTTCATCTGGCAAAATCCTATGCAACACAGTTGGAACTATTCTTCAAGAAGTGTCAGCAGGGTGCTGAAACAAATCATGGGCTAAGCTTTGGTCACAGCTTGTCCATTTTTAGGTTCTCCGGGACCCAAATTGTCTATCACTGTATAGAAGACCCACAAGTGTCTCTTCCCTCAGCACTCTTCTTGCTATTTCACCTTTTGCTCAGTCCTTACTCTTTTCCAGTTGAAGAGCTTTCCATGTATAAATCAAAAGTGGAAGTTGGTCCCAGAGATTGGACCTGAATTAAAATCTGTTTTCTATATTTTCCTTGTCAAATAGGATTGTCTGAATTTCAAATCATGTTAGTTTGCTTACTCTGGCTAAATTTCTTATTTCTTTTGTTGATTAATTTTTGATATTTGATCATAGTTGTACAAATAGTTTCAATTATTTCCAAATATGTGATTTACTTTTTAGGCAATACACTGAGTTTCCCCTCCAAATTTATGAGCCTTGTCAATATTATCCAGAACTTTGATGTCTGAACAGGCCTCCCATGAAGAATGTTCTCCTTGACTTTACTTTTGAATGCACTCTATGAAATAGCATGCTGCGTTTTTAGATTTGTCACTCATACTAAACTCCACATTCACATACTAGTTATGAATATATTTGGACAGTTGAATTATACAAAGTAATTGTTTTGAGCTTTATCAAGATTAAAGTTCACTTGTATAGAGGATGCATTTTAAAGTACTCTAAGGTCTTCTTAAATTTGAGCAACATGTGAATAAGTCACTACCACCAATAGCCTATCTATTCAGGTTCAACGGTGTTTTTATAAGTACTTTCTATTTGGGCTTTCAAAAATGTAAGTGGGATGAGAGAGAGTAAACAGTCGTCATTTGTTCTCTTCCAGGATTAGATTACATGATAGTTGCTTAGTTACAGCTCTACACAGTGTACGTACCTTTATGTGTAAATACAGATTTCAAAATCTCTAAAGGTGTACCCTGGGTTAGAGAGGTTTTTCGCAGCTCCAGAAAATGCGTGCTCTTGGTTTCTCACAAAAAGGCATCAGCCAAACATGTTTGGTGATGGGAATGTAAATAGTGAAACGAATCTACCAACAATAATAAGAAAAGAAAAGAACTTACTTGATTCCTAGAACCCAAGGTACAAAAAGGCAAAGCTAACTGAAAATGCCTCAGGTGGTGCATCATGTCTACCAGGCGCATTTTGTGACACTGTTTGCTTCTCTTTAGTACTTTTGCACTAACTCCATCAAATATTTATAAACAACCTTCTCCCTTTTCAGTACTGCCAATTCATTCCATTCAAAACTAAGTCATTTGGTGCTAAGTACCCAGTTCTTGCCATGGTACTCCAGGGGCCATAGAATGACTGAGTTTGGTCTCAGTAACGCCTCTCTTGCTATTCCATTCCCACCAGTGATGTTGAGAGCTAGAGAGTTGGGGGACAGAGCTAGCAGGGGATTTCCTTTCCGTTCTTGTTCCAGAGTGGCTGCAATGAAGATAAGGTAAACAAGCAATGTCTGTGCAAGGCACTGCCCACTTCTGTCTTGGTGGAAAAATGCTTCTGAAAGTCAGGGACAAGGGGGAGAACTGATGCCTACATCTGTTCCTGGTTAATTTCCCTTAATTACCACCAGATCAGCCTTGTACCCTGTCCCTTGTTTGCACTCAGAAAAAAGTTTCTTTTACAAATGTTTAACCTGAAAACTTTGTAGGTATAAAAAAATACCTACAGCACAGTGCAAAGGCTCAACTCTGCCAGCACCCACCAGCCAAGGGCTTTAGGGACTGCTTATAGATGTTTATTTTTAAAGTTTAACCAAATGGCTGAGAAACAACTATTTTGAACCCCACCTATTCTTAAACAGATTGTAACTAGATTACAAGTAAAAACCCTAAGAAGCTGTTTTTAAATTAGTTAAAACTTGTATAATATCCAAGAAATTTATAGAAGTTAATTCTCCATTTCTCTCTCAAATTCCTTAATTTATTTTCATAATTGGAGAAATGAGCAATTTTCCTATTCTGTTAAAATATCTATGAGATAATGATAAAGTGAAAAAAATTAATCAAATGGAAGAATTTGCAGAGGGATATCAGGTTCAGAAATAAATTATTTCAACATGTGAGGTTTTTATTGGGCTGCCAAAGAAAATCCATGGAGTAGGTCACAAGAATAGAATCAGTAGCTAGTAGGCTTAAGTTTCTTGGTTTAGAAAAAGTTAAGATGGTGTTCAGATATTACATTTTCTAAGAAGTTGGGTGGTTTGGAGCAGAATATGTACTTACAATTTTAATTTCAAAAAACAGATTTTGGAAAACTTGATTAGAAATGAATTTAATGATTACTAATCTTTGTCATTAATAATGGCTCACATTATCTTTGACTATATTTTATTCCAATATTTTAAATTTTAAGAACTGGGCTAGAAGGAAGAAAATTGGGTTATAGTCCTGAGTTTTGACACTAACAAACAATGAAACTTTGGGAAAATTCATTTAAATTTTAGAGGCCTCAGTTTTCACTAAATGTGAACATTGCAATGTCTAATTAATGTACTTTCTAGCCTTCCAGCTCTCAAATTTACTCCAAGAAAAGTGAAGATATTTTCACCATCACTTCAGCTGCGTCCTCTACTTTCTAATCATATTTGGTTAGAAATGGTACCAACTTCTCTGAATGCTCTGTAGTTATTGCAAATTTGTGCTATTCAGATAGTAAACTTTCGCTCCTTAAACAAAAGTTTGAAGGCTGCTGGTTCTATGAACAAGATGCATGAATTTGCATGCTTCAAACTCAAGAGATTTCTCAAGGCTAGCAAGGTTTTACAGGAAAATTTACATTTATTTCTTCTGTAGCCAGGAAATCCTTTCTGCAGGAGTCTGATTTAAGTGATATTTTCGTTGTTGTGTATTTTCTAAAATTAAGTTTTGAAAATACAATAAGTTTAGAGGACAGCTAGTAAAACAAAGTGAAAAAGCTTCATTACATTCGTCCTGGCAATCAAATATGAAAAAAGAAGGCACTAAAACCTTGGGATAAATAAGAAGTAGTAGTTTAAAAATAATTAAAATTATTTTTAAAATAATGAACTTAGAGACTAAGAAAAGCTTTTGAGATGTTGTATAGGCTCACCCACCGACAAGCATTTGCACACACATATTTACATACAATCTGAAGAGGTCCAGAAGGGAAAAGAACTCTATTAGGGTATCAGAAAACCAAATAGGCCATCTCTAAATTCCAGTTTTTGAAGTAATTTTTGTTATCTGCATTTGACATTAGAGAGAAAAAACAAAACAAAACAATGACAATGGTTAATTATTCAAATAAGGGAAGAGTTTACTGGCATAGATAAATACAATCAATGGATAACTCTCAAATCATTTTTCTTTGATTTTGTAAAACTCATTTTAGCTTCTTTTGCCTTATGCTGATGTTGAAATCTGGGCTTCTTGAAAATGCACCAGTTGTTAGTTAGCCATATTTGTGGTAAGTTCCTGGAGCAAAGCCAGCCTGAATATTCTGTGGATGGTCTTTAAAGTGTGTGCAATATATGTGGATAATTATGAGCTTTCAACAGGTTTTTATGTATTAATAAGCATTTACTCCAAGGAGAAATCTGAGCACATTAATAAAGGCTGCAGTCAGTCCCACAGAGATACATATATTTTACCACAGCATGTGAATAGACTTTGGAAGGTGGCTGCCATTTCTCCTTCCAGATTTTACAGATGAGAATAATCTACAGTTAGAGGCATAGTATTCTGCTTTGAAATGCCACAGGATAGAACAAAAGAAAATGTCTGGCCTTTATCTCTCTCACCCACCTTTTACTTTTCTCTCCATTTCGATGTGGTCACTTTCTCATCTCAAATTCTGAAAACAATTTTAGTTTGGGTCTTACTCAGTGTGTTGTTCTGGAGAAATAATGGGGGCACTCAAATGTAATGGTGAGTCTGATTCTTGTTAGGCTTATATTCAAGCACAGTTTTTAAATAGATGAAACCATTTGTGAGGGTTTGTTTTGATAAACTTATATCAATAATTTCACCCTTACAACAACACTCCTTAGTAGATATTATTAACAGTGTTTATGAAATGCAAATCAGGTCCCCAAGAAGCTAAGTTATCTGAGGCCACTAGGGTTGTAAGTGACAGAGCCAGTCCCAACTAACTGAAAATGTACGTTCCCCATATATATATTTATTTTCAGCTTCTTTCAGTCTTTGGGATATAGTAGATGCTCAGTTACTACTTAGTGAATGCTGTTTGAAGGATATAGGTAACTTCAAAACTGCACTAGCTTCCTGATATGACATCTAGCCAAACACATTGCTGTTCATCCTCCTCCATTCCAGACTAGATATTGAGCTTCTGTGTTCTTTGAAGCAGAGTGATGGACTAGACAACTCCAGCTGGAAACTTCATGTCTTGGAACGTATACAATTAAATGACTTCTTCACTAATAAACATCTTATTCTTTGAAGTTGTAGATACAATGATTTAAGACCTCCACATGTGACTTTTAGATAATAACATGTCTTTTAAACAAACAGTAGAAGATAGGTTTAAAATACACCAAAGAGTAGCTGAGCCATTTATATCCTGGCATTGCATAATCCTACTTGCTACTGATGTCTCAAATAATTAAGAAATATTAAATGTTGACATTTTATAAGTACATGTAGTTTTTTTCATACTAATAATTATTTTTTAATCCTGGAAAACATTAAAGAAATTGCAACCAGCTTTCATGTATTGAGTTTTCAGTGAAAATTTAAAGCAGCCATCTTATGTCTGAGCTTTACAATGGTGTCTATATTAGAAAGTTCTAGAATGACTTCCTGTTATGTTTTTAGGTAAAAACTTCAATAATGCTGTAACTATTTTTAATTTAATAGGCATATTTAACAATGGTCATTTTTTATTATTGCTTCGAATCTTTAATCTTCTGAATTTATTGATGTTTATGTAAATAATGGTGTACACTAAGGAACTTACCAGGCTTGGGGTTCTTGAACATACTGAATCCTTTTACACATTCTTCTTGCCTTGGTTGTTGGCATTCTGCCTGGATTAAAAAGAAAAGCAAAACCAGAAACCATAAGTGAGAGACTCTTCATAATTCTATAACTATTTAAGTGTTTGTGTGTGTGTGTGTGTGTGTGTTTGGTTTCAATTCTTGTTCCTTAGTGAACTGTATAATCTTTGACTGCAGACTGGGTCTATACATTTCCCTTTCTTCTCCCTGTATGACTCACATATTTCCTGTGTTGTGTGCCATGGGAATGCTTGTATCCTATAAGCCTACATGTTTGTGTCAGAATAATAATCGAGTTGGCACAATGGATGAGAGGAGTATTTGAAGGAGCCGTTTCTATGCTATGGAGGAGAGCACTATTCTTAACAATATATAGAAGTGACCGTGAATCACATAAATATAGCCTAGTAAACCCAACAAATGCAACCCCAACTTCTTAACTGAACTGAACCACAAATACTCATAGCCACTCCCATGAGGAGGGGAAGTTAGCCAGCAGGGAAACTAAGCAGAAAGAGGTAGAAGGCCTACTAATTGAGGTTAAAATATGCCACTTTGCAAATTTTATTTAAAAATATGACTATGTGAACACATTGTTAATCCCCCTCCCAGGGCCTTGGAGGGATCCTGTGTGTGTGAGGAACCCCGAGGTTTTGGTTTCATTAGTTTCACAGTAAATCCACTTCTCTACTCCCAGACCCACCCTTTTCTCTAATGATGTGGTCTTTTTTCTCCATAAAGACCTTCGTAGTATGTTGTTTGCAACTGTCTTTCAGAGGAAATTAACTTACACTACTTTCTTTATAATACTTAAGTGTGTGAATATACATGCACACATACATATATACCTCAGTTAACTATGTATATACCTCATTTTCTAGTATTGATCTGAGATTTTTGAGCATAGCTACTGTGTAATGCTTATTTTTGCATTCTATGCAATAGTAGGCTTTTTTAATAAATCTTTCTTCATACATATAAATTTATCTGTCATAGATGGGCAAAGACATGGACGTTTAAAAAGGCCTTTTGATATAAATTTCATTATCATCTTCCAAAAAGTTTATTTCTATGTACACTTCTACCACAGGTACATAAGAATTATTCTTTAATCACATTCTACAAAATACTTGGTATTACTTAGGTTCCAAAATAACCCCATTGTATACATTTATTTGGGATAATTTTTTTTTTTTGGCTACGTTGAGTTTTGCTATTTGGCATCATGCTACATTTTTTATTACTTAAATAATCTTTACATCTGTCAGGGAAGTTTAATAGTTTTATTTATTTATGTTTTACACATTCTTATTAAAATTTTCTGGCTATTTTATATTTTGCTGCTATTGTGAAAAGCATCTTTTTTCTCTTGAATTTTTTATATCATCATTGCTGGCATATAAAAAACTATCAATTTTTTGTATTTACTTAGTAGTTACCTATTAGTTATTTTCACTCGTTAATTGTAATAGTTACTCAGTTAAGACAGATATTATTCCAGGAAAAGATTGTTCTTTTGGTTAAGGGCATTTGGATATCAAGCTTGACCAAAGCTTTTTTAGCTTATATAATCATAATATGATTATTCTTTAAATCTCTTATATGATAAATTATGTTAATATATTTATTCATATTAAGTCATTATTACATTTCTTTTAAATCTTTTCTGGCCCTAGGTTTTTATTTGTTTAATATTCTGCTGAACTAGCTCCTAATTATAATGTAGGCAGGGATGTAGCTACAAGAATGTTTGTTTATTGCAGAAGTATATGTGAAAGCAAAGATTTATAAACAACTTGAATGTCCCAAACTAGATATTACTTAAATAAATTAAGGCACATATCCCCAGCAGAGAATAAGCAGACAAAATGATGTTATAAAGCTATATTTCCTAATATGTTTATATTATTTGGTAAAAGAGTAGTAAATATTGAATGAACTCATTAAAAGCACATTTGTATATGTGTGTGTAAGTGTTTGAGTAGGTCTGTGACACATTTGTGTGTGAATAAGTGGGTCTGTGTGTGTGTATGCATGTGTATACATACATTTGGAAAGATCTATGCTCTAACTACAGCATGAGGTTTCTCCAGATAAATAGAGATTATATTATTTGTTTCCTTATTATTTTTTAGAAAAATGATGTTATAGATTTTTTGCTAAAAATTGCATACACTCAATATGAGAAGTTCTTCTAATATCCCAACCCAGAAGTGAACATTGCTAACAATAAGTGAACATCATTCCATATATCTCTTATGTATAGTAAACATATAATTAGAAAGATATATGAACAGATACTATGGTTATATTGTATATGTCCCTCCAAAATTCATACATTGGAACTTAATCTCCAAGGCGAGGGCCTTGGGAGGTGATTATGTGGAGCCTCATGGATGGAGTTAATGCCCTCATAGAAGAGGCTTGAGGGAGCCACCTATCACCTTTGATCCCTTCTACCATGTGAAGACAAAGCTTTTGGCCCCTTGTTCAAGGTGCTGCCTTGGAAGCAGAGACTGAACCTTTGCCAGATACTGAATTTGCTGGTGGCTTGATCTTGGACTTCCCAGCCTCCACAATTGTGGAGCAATAAATTTGTTTATAAATCACTCAGTCTGAGGTGTTATGTAATAGTATCAGGAATAGAGTAAGAGAGTAGAAATACCTTTAAAATTTTAATCATATTCTATATGCTATTTAATTTTTTTGTTCTTTGCATTTAAGAAATGATGATAAATTAAGTAAAACTGAATAGATTGCTCAACATCAGACTCTGGTCTGCATTAGCACTTCCAGGAAAAAAATCCCCAGACTGGGTGGCTTGAACAACAGAAATTTACTTTCCCACAGTTCTGGAGGCTGGAAGTCTAAGCTCGAAGTGTGGGCAGCTTTGGTTTCTCCTGAGGCCTCTGTCCTTGGCTTGAAGATGGCTGCCTTCTTGTTGTGTCCTCACTTGGTCATCTTTCTGTGTTATCTGTGTCTTAATCTTCTCTTTGTTTTTTTTCTTTTTTTTTTTTTTTTTGAGACGGAGTCTCGCTCTGTCGCCCGGGCTGGAGTGCAGTAATCTTCTCTTCTTATAAGGACACCAGTCATACTGGACTAGGGCCCACCCTAATGACTCCATTATAACTTAATTACTTATTTAAAGACCCTACCATCAAAACAATCACATTCTGAGATTAGAGGAGGGGAAGGACACACAATTCAGCCCATAACAGGTTCTTTACCAAAATATATTATAATCTCTTAACTTTTGAGTTTCTTTCAAGGGTTAAGAAAGAAGTGATTGTGTAAACATTAGGATGTTGGAATATCTTTCTAAAAATTATAGATTAGTCTTGTATGCTTACCCTTCTTCCCACCACCTGTTAGTCATATATGTATATAAACATTGCTTTAACACTGTCAATATTTGTATTGTTTCTCAGTAAGTATAATTCCTATAGTCATTTAAGTTTAGTTCTATATTTGGATTGATTTAGTGTTCACCAACAGTCTTATCACAGTTTCTCCATTTCATTTATTGCCCACTTTCTATCATCAAGTAGAATTTTCAAGGCAGGTCCATAAATATTGCTGTCTTTTGAATTATTTCACATTTGTGGCTATGGGTCTACTGTCTCTCTTCAAAGTTAGATTGACTGGGAGCACCATTGTGGGGTCTTATTTTATTTTCCACAGGTGACAAACTAGTCACTTACCAGTTTGTCCAGCCAACAGATAAACTTTTTCCCCAACAAAATTGAATAAAGTTAATTTTGTTGCTGGAATTCAAAAGTTGGGAGAATTAATACAAAAGTTTGGATTTCTGGATTTTCTTGAAAAAATCAACGATGTAGTAATATGACATCTTATTAACTACATTTTTCATTTTCTTAACACAAAATTGTCTGTGGCTACCTCATTTTCATAGCGCATGTATGCTCTCCACTTCACTGAATCCAACCTGTTTCAATTACTTTTATATCTCACCCATATACGCATTAGAGTTGGCATCTCCAGGCTTATAATTTTTTTGACATTGCACTATCATTTCATGGCACTGAGTACTGAACTAGTCGTTTTGCTATGGCTTTTCCAGTCATTTCTTGGTGGGCTTTATTTGCATTTTTTTTTTTTCCTCAGAAAGTTCTCATGCGTAATGTTTCCTAAGTTCTCTTATATTTCAGAATGTCTGAGTGTTGCCCTTATTCCTAAACTAACATGTCTGGCTACAATATGTCTTGAATTTTTTTTTTCCCTTCAGGATATTCTGTTAGAAATAGATAATTGGTGCTGTTAAGAAGAGTCAGCATGGAGACAAACAATCTCTCAGCAAGGCCATTTTTACTTTCTGTAGATTGAACAATGGCAAGAGCACACTTCAACAAAGGAAAAGCAACATATTTATCCCTTACGCATTTGGGTCATCCTTACTGCTGTGTCCTGCATCCATTGGCTGGAGCTGGACCTCACAGTCTTAAACTGATACCCAATTTGCTAATAACCTAAAACTTTCCTAAATAGGTAAGTGCAAGGGAGAACAAGGAAGGAGAGGAAGTTGCTTATGAAAGGTTTAAGGAAGCAATAACATTTCCAAAAGAGGAAGACACATAAGCCATGAGCTAGGACTTGCCTGGGCCTATTCAGACATGCCTGAGTGAGCCAAAGCAACTAACTGTGCTAAAGTGTAAGAACTAATAGTTGATAGGAGGCTTTAGAGTAAGAAGCTATTATTTCTAGTGTCTATTATTTCATTTTTAAACCAAGACGAGCTTTGAAGAGGAACTTTTCTACTTTCTATATATTCTATATATTTGTTCTAGTATTTTCTGGGTTAATTTCTTGCTGTGGGGAGGTCAGCAACCAACCTGGTTTCCTCTCTTTTATTTGACTTGCTCTTTCTGTCTGGATGGCTGAAAAAAATATTTCCTTTTCCTTGAATCTTAACAACTTAACCAGGATAGGCTGCCAGGTTGATCCTTCTGTCTACATTTATTTCCTAGGTGACAAGGTCTGTCCCCTACTGTGCTTCTCTTTAGTTTCAGAGC